CTATCGGGACGCAATTTCACCCCTCCTCCCTCCCTCCTTCCTTCCTTCCCCAGCAGGAGGAGAAGGGCTATCGGGACGCAGTTTTACCCCTCCTCCCTCCTCCCTCCTTCCTCCCCACCAGGAGGAGAAGGAGCTTGAGGGACGCAATTTTACCCCTCCTCCCTTCCCCCCCAGCAGGAGGAGAAGGGGCTATCGGGACGCAGTTTTACCCCCTCCCTGCCTCCTCCTTCCTTCCCCAGCAGGAGGAGAAGGGGCTTGAGGGACGCAGTTTTACCCCTCCTCCTCCCTCCCCCTTCCTTCCCCAGCAGGAGGAGAAGGGCTTGAGGGACGCAGTTTTACCCCCTCCTCCCTCCCTCCTCCTTCCTTCCCCCAGTAGGAGGAGAAGGGCTTGAGGGACGCAGTTTTTACCCCTCCTCCCTCCCTCCCTCCTTCCTTCCCCACCAGGAGGAGAAGGGCTATCGGGCGCAATTTCACCCCTCCTCCCTCCCTCCTCCTCCTTCCCCCAGCAGGAGGAGGAAGGGGACTTGAGGGACGCAGTTTTACCCCTCCTCCCTCCCTCCCCCCTTCCTTCCATCCCCAGTAGTAGGAGAGGGGCTTGAGGGATGCATTTTTACCCCCTCTTCCTCCCTCCTCCTTCCTTCCCCAGCAGGAGGAGAAGGCTATCGGGACGCAGTTTTACCCCCTTCCCCCCACCAGGAGGAGAAGGGCTTTCGGGACGCAAATTTCACCCCCCCCCCCAGCAGGAGGAGAAGGGCTTTCGGGATTGAGGGCACGACAGCGCGCGGCCGATCCGTGGTTCCTGCGCCGGCGAGAGAGAGGAGGGGGCCTCGCTTCCCTCCCTCGCACGTCGGCGGGGATCGAGCCTGAGTTGGGGAGGCAGGCACAAGGGGAGGATGGGGGATTTCCTCCTCTTTTTCTTTTTCTTCTGTTTTTCTTTTTTTTCTTCTTTTTTTCTGCTTGTTTTCCTTCGTTTTATTTTATTTTTCTCTTTCTTCTGTTTCTTTTTTACTTCTTCTGTTTCTTTTTTTACTTCTTCATCATCTTGTTCTCGTCGTCATCATTGTCCCTCCTCCTCTTCTTCCCCTCTCCTCCTCCTCCTCTTCCCATTCCTCCTCCTCCTCCTCCTCCTCCTCCTCCTCCTCCTCCCCCATCTCCCTCCTCCTGTTCGCCAAAGAGACGGGCCTCTTTCGCGGGACGTCCGGGCTGCGTGCGTGTCTCGATTTAATCCGCTTTGCAAAGATGGATTAGTTAGGGAAACGACAGCCTTCCTGCCGCCCACACTCTCGCCTGGGGATTCACTCAGCTGCCGCCCCCCCCCCCCAACCATCGCCTCCTACCCCTCCTCCCCCAGCTAACCATCCCTTCCTAACTCCCTATAACCCCCTTTGTGTCTTACATCCCCCTACTTAATGCTCCCCCTTCGCCCCCCCCCCCCAGCCTCTCGCATTGCATCTTATCTTGTTTCCTTCCGTTCACGCTCCTCCCTTCTTCTCCTCCTCCTTCCATCTTCTTATCTTGTTTCCTTTCCGTTCACCCTTCTCCTCCATCCCTCCCTCCCTCTCCCTCCTCCAATCTTCTTATCTTGTTTCCTTCCGTTCACCCTCCCCCTCTCCTTCTCCTCCTCCCTCTCCCATCTTCTTATCTCGTTTCCTTCCGTTCACCCTCCTCCTTCCTCCCTCCCTCTCCTCCTCCAATCTTCTTATCTTGTTTCCTTTCCGTTCACTCCCCCACCCCTCTTCTTTCCTGGATTTCCGTGCTCACTGACCCCTCTTATCATCATGCCCTTACCCCTCTCTCTTTACCCAACTTGCCTTCCAACCCCCCTTATCCTACCCCCACCCTACTGCCCTACCCCCTCCTATCCACTGCTCCACCTCCTCCTATCCACTTACCCTACCCTCCTATCCACTACCTACCCCTCCTATCACTACCCTACCCCCTCCTATCCACTATCCTACCCCCCTTCTATCTACTACCCTACCCCCCCTTCTATCCACTGTCTTACCCACACCCCCTCCTATCCCCTGCCTTACCCCCCGTCCTCCACTGCCACCCCTCCTATCCACATCCTATCCCCCTTCTATCTACTACCCTACCCCCCTTCTATCCACTGTCTTACCCACACCCCCTCCTATTCACTGCCTTACTCACCACCCCTCATCTACCCTCCTACCACTTTCGTCCTCCCCTTCCCCCTCCCCTTCTTCCCTCCCCCGCCCCTCACACTCCCTGTCGGTCGCCACCCCCCCCACCCTCCTCCTACTCCTCCTGTTGCCACCCCCCCCCCTCCTGTCGCCGTCCCCCTCCCCGGGGAAAATCGTTGTGGGAAAAATTCATCCGGGTTTTTTTTTGAATCCTCGCCATTTTCTCCGTGAATCATCGAGGGCTGTTGGTCGCTCTCCCTCTCTTTCTTTCTTTGTTTCTTTCTCTTTCTTCCTTTCTCTCTCTTTCTCTCTCTTTCTCCTTTCTTTCTCTCTCTCTCCTTTTCTCTCTCTCTCTCTCTTTCTCTCCACTCTCTCTTTCTCTTTTCTCTTCTCTCTCCACTCTCTCTCTTTCTCTTACTTTTTCTCCTTTTCTCTCTCCTTTTCTCTCTCTTTCTCTTTCTCTTTTTCTCTCTCCACTCTTTCTCTTTCTT